CCTAAGGCGGGACTAGAACTCACAGTCTCCCGGATTCTAGCCTGGAGCCTTTAACCTCTACACCAAATTGGCCTTCATCTCTGCACTAGAACAGTAATGTCTGGGCTACTGAAAATAATAAATGGTCTCCAATAAATGGTGTCTTCTGCCAGAAAAGCAAGGAGAACAAAGTTGAAAAAGTTGAATGCCCTAATTTGACTCAAGGAATAGAGATGCCTTTTAATAATGTGTCCTGAGCTCCACATGATTTTAATGACCAAGTGACAAAATAAATGAGGACTTTAAGTACAAACACATAACTACCAAAACAAGGAAAAAGATTTTCCCACGCTCCTAGGGATTAGTGTCAATATAATGGCCAAAGCCTCAGACTAGGGGGTGCCCAGGTTCAGAAGAATAGCATCAAACAGTCTTACCAAATGTTCGATGCGCCGGACCGGGGTTGTATTCCGTCTCTAAACATATAGAAAAAGATGATATGCGTTTAAGTTCAAATAAAAAAGGAAGAGTGTTAACACAAGATTGCAGGATGGTGCTGTACAGTTTCTTTCCCAAAGAAGCTCTCGGTAGGAATGTTGCTGCTCAGTGAATTGCGAGAGCTACTAACCACACAGCTGAAGAATCGTGCAGTGGAATAGCTATGGGATGTTTTTCTGCTAGGAGATGCCATCCAAACAACCTTCCATGAACATACACTTCCCCCTCCACCCAGAATCCTCCCAGAATACAAGTCACTGCTACACAGACTCCAAAGAGTCACCCATATATCTGAGCAAAATCTGCCAGGTTCTTCCTTTGATGTCCACCTCCCCTTAACACAGAGATAGAAACCGTTTTGCCACTGAGAGCTGCAATTCTTTTTTCCCAGGGAAAAATTGGACTGAAATTCCCAATTCTACTACCATTACCATCATATCATTATCATATACCTGTTTTTAAAAAAGGAAAACTGCCCTTACTGGAGGAAAAAAAAGAAAAAGAAATACATAGTGCTGCTGAAAATGAATGATCTCTTTCATAATTTTGGCAATGTCACTGATCAAACCATACTGAAGATTTGCATCTTGGATAATATCCTTATTTCCTTCTTTATGGCAAGAGTTGGATCATATTATGGGGAAGTGTGGGAGCTAATGCATAGAAAGGCAGATTCACAGCATCGATTCTTAAAACCTCAATATCAGACTATCTGGCTGGGAGTTATAGTTCCAATGCATTTGGAAATTGAAGAAGGGGATCTTAGCTGGTCAATGTAGTGTTTTAAGCAGCGATAGCATTCAGGAGTGGCCAGTAAGATTTCTTTAGAGCATTGCAAGTGGTAAATCTCTGGCACTAATCAATGCTTGTTTGTATAAGGGAGTACCATTTAGAGAAAATGTTATTGGTCGTCTAGAGAATTGGCATTATCTTGCAGATTTTTCTCAGCCAGCAGAAGCAGAGATTTGAGATCAACAAGTAATAACTTTTAATATGATGTACATGCCCACCTCAGTATACATCTGCAAGAATATTCTCAATATTCTGAAAATTAAGGATATTTCACCTTAAAAATTATACACCCAATGACAAATATTTCAAAAGCTTTCTCTTCAAAAGAGCACATAACATAAATTGTTATTCCGTATTTCCAGAGTGGGAAATCTGATACTTTCAAATGCTTTGGACAATTATGCCTGTAAACCTTTATTGTAGGCATTGCGATCTTGAAAAGACAGGAGTTATAATCCAAAATATCTAGAGGATGTCAGGACACTCCCTCCACTCCCAATGTCAACTGGCTTTCTACGTTGTCAACCACAGCATCCTCTTTGGCCACCCGGGAAGGTTAGGAATAGGAGGCACCATATTACAAAGGTTCCACTTCTTCCTGAATCAGTGGGTCCCATTAATGGTTGTAGGGGAGATTTGGCCCTTGGGCACTCCGTTACAATATGCCCAGGGCTTGAGTCACTCCCCCATTCTGTTTAACATCTATGAAGTCACTGGGAAAGGTTTTTTGCCAGTTCAGGGGTGGTATCATCAATGTACTGATGATACCCACCTACTCCTGGTCAAGGAGGGCTGTGAGGAAAGTCCTGAGCCAGTGTCTGGAGGCTGTCAAAGTCTGAAAAAACAGCTTCAGACTCAACCCAAACAAGGTGGAATGACTATTTACTCAGAAGAGCAGGCTAACAATTTCAGAGTCCTCCTGAATTCATAACTCCTACTGGAAAAGCAGGTGTAGAACATGGCCAGAAGGTCCTTTGCCCAGCCCTGGCTGGTACGCCAACTGTGGCCTTACCTACAATAGGACCACAAAAGATGGTCACCTTTGCCCTTCTCGTCTCTCAACTAGAATACCATAATTGTGGCTGCACTCAAAAACCACCTGGAAACTTCCAGTGGTGCAAAAAGCAGCAGCCCATGTGCTTACTGGGCAGCCTCGTTACTGTCATGGCACACTGCTCCTGTGGAAACTGTACTGGCTTGTAGTCTGTTTCCAAGTGCAATTCAAAGTGCTGGTTATTACCTATAAAGCCTTCTATGGCTCAGGGCATGGGTATTTACAGGACCATCTATCTCATGTGGACCTGCCCACACACCATGCTAGAGAACATGCCTGTTCAAAGTTCCATCTACCAAAAGATAAGATCAGAGGGAGCTCAAATGTGGATATTCTGTGCATGAGCTCCTCTCCTCTGTAACAGTTGTGCCTGTGAGGTCCCTCCCCACGTAGCTTTCCAGAAGCTTGTAAAAACTTGGCAGTTCTGAAAGGCCTTTAGGTCCAGATTGTTGTAGTCCTATTGGCACCAATATGAGGTTGTCACAATAATAGTACGTATTAGGTTGAATTATATTTATCATTTTGCATTGATTTATGTCACTGCTGCTCTTTTATACCATTTAGTATAAATGTAGGTGAAGCTAGGAAGATCAAACCAGGAAATCAACTTCACAGGAAGGCTAAAACTCCTTTTACTGAGATTGGCTATAATAACAGAATCTTACAAGTCTGATTGTGTTGTCCCTCTTCTTCCTTCTTACACTCCAGTGAATCAGGGCGGTGTCTGCCTCAGCTGCTTCCAAAAGTTACCTTGTTGCTCTTAAACATGCACTTAAAAAGCTTCAGTCCCTAATGGTTCCTGCATATCTATGTTGAGGTCATCTTCCTTACTCTCTACACTTAGAGTAAAATAAAGTTGTCCTTCATACATGATCATGTGTTCAGAAAACCACCTAGCCATACCAAACGTTTTGATTGCTCATTTAATTAAACAGAAGTGCTGTGACCCAACTCCTATGCTTTAATATTCTGAACTTTTATGGGAATTGCTGTTAGTAATCTGTTGACCTGATTCTTCATTCTGTTTTGTGGAACTGCTGGCTGGCTCTTCTATTTTGTCCTTCTGTTCAACTTGGTTGTGACCTGTTCTTCTAAGCTCACTAAACTCACTGCCATTGCAATGGAAACTCACAAGTCAAAGTAGCCCTTGAGATGAACAGTTGGATACGGTAAATATTTGTTTTCCTATAATGTAGGAGTGAGTAATGCTTTTTTTAACGCTTGGAAATTATTTTTTCCCACCATTTAAAAAAAATTATGGGCTTGTGAAGGGTACAAAGGACACAATAACAATGCAGAAATATTAGTTCAGGCAGTGGGGCCAAATTTCAGCCTATTGGAGGCTTCATGGACTTATTTTGCTTACTAATCCTTTTTAAAAATGGAAATTTGTACTATGATATAATCTTGGATGGTTCTAGGGCCACAGAAAATTGGCTAGGGGTCCCCTGGTTGGGCATCATGGCTCTAAAACACTGGTTTGCCAACTTCCTCCTTTCATGAAGCTTCTTTTGTATCTGCCTGCTGGTCAAGGAACCCTGAACATTATTTGCAGTTCTGAAGTCATGGACACTAAATTCTAAGTAATTTTGGTCTTAGCTGCAGCTTCAACTGAGAATTCGTTTTAGGATGTTCCTTTGAAGATAAAGAGTTGATCAGTAATACAGAACAAGTGAATGTTAATGATTTTGCCTTCTGTTCCTGATTGTCCTACCATGGAACTGTCGATAAAGTTCCAAGGGTTTCTACATACAGAATTTGCAAGTCACTGCAAAAAAAGCTGGTCTTGAAAGTTTCCAGTGAGAGTTGCTGTTAAGTGAGCCAACAGCAAGAATTGTGACAGCATTTGCAAGGACTGAGTATGGCAGGACAAATCTTTTCAGTTTGCTAGTAGATTCCTCTATGGTTAGCAATAGATCAGCAAGGATATCTCTAAATCCCAAGTACCGAACAATAGTGGGAACCAATTCACTTCTTTCCTGCCCTAAACTGACTCTTCTCCCATCCAAATTACAGGACTAGGGGGGGAAAGCTTTGGTGATAACCATTTGAGGAAGCAGATTGTGACCCACAAAGGCTTATGCGATAGCATACCTTTAAGCCATCACAATATTTCTCACTATGACTGATGTTCAAGGAGAAGAGGATTTGCAGTGAAATTCAGGCAATGTCCTGCTCACAAAAGAACAAAAAACAAGAAGGCAGAGCTGAGATCAACAGCTCCAGACTAACCAGGCCGTATGAAAATCTTGGCATTTGCTCCCCTTCAAACAGTTTTGCAGTCTCTCCTGAATCTCTCGGCCTTCTGTGCAACAACTGGCGTGGCTTTGCTTCTACTGAACTCTCACCTCCACGCTCCACCTTTGTGAAGATGAGGCTACCTACGAATGGGGTGGCCATTTAGCAGAAGAAAACACACTCCAGTGGTTTGCACAGGTAGAACAGCCACAGGCTGACCTAACTTTAGATGCATTTTTGGTCAGCAGAATGCATGCAAGAGATCTAGCACACACATTGCTTCATATTTGGATAGCCCAGGGAAACAGCACATGGTCACATGAAAGCTTAACTGCAAGAAGGGAGTCGACAGAATCAGCTGATTCGAAACTGTTGCGCTGCTCCCTTTGGTATTGGACAAAATTCACATTTTTTTGTGGTCTACAGGCAAGGTGGGGGAACCTAAACTAATTAGGAGGTGCTAAATGGATCTTCAAATTCCTATCAATCCTCCTTGCTTCTATGCAGAAAAATAATTAAAGCGTAAATATATTTATTTCCCATTGTCAGTATCCAACTGCTGTAATTCTTACAAAGTCTGGTTCTGAGAAGGGGAGGAAATGCACAACTGCAGTCACCTCTTTTCTTTTGTCTTCCAACTGTGTCACAACTAAACTGGCCAGGGCGACGTATTGCAGATCCATTCTCTTAAACCAGAAACATGGGAGCTATTTTGCACCCTTTAAAGATACAAGCGGTCCCTACTAAGTGACCACTTTTTATCAATCACAGATTAAAGAGAAAGCCGTGATCATTACTGCTTCTCTGCTCCCAAAACGAGGGTGGTGATGGGCTACAAGGGCCTCTGGAGTGAAACTTGGACAACCTCTAATCTGTTTCCTGGCCTCTCAGATT